GGTTTGCTTGCTGCCGCGGAAAATTCTCAGGGCGTGGTCTGGGCCGGATGTGCGTGGACCTCCTACTGCGTGCAAGTTTCTGGGTGGAATTCTTGTTGTTGCCGGCCGAAACAGCCGGACCCTTGCTGGCCTGCGAGCCCGAGCGTTGCCAGGAAGCACGAGGCCACCGAGATTCTGCCTGGATGTGGTCCCCGATTTCTTTTTGAAGCAGCAGTGGAGTGTGAATCAGGCAGCCAAAAAATTGGCAGCAGCAAGGAACTAAACTTCTGGCCCAGGCAGCAACCGGTCCCCGAAATTTTGCCGGCAGGCGCAGAAAAAAACAACACTCGCTTTAAACCAGGCAGCAAAACATGGCAGCAGTAAGGAACCGCAATTCCGCCGGACCTGGCTATTTTTTTGCGGCGGCAAACAAGGGAAACTCGGCCGGAACCAGGCTGCACAATTTTTCCGGAAGTGGCAAGGAAGAACATTTTGCCCGCAACTGGGCTGAGACACTTGTCGGCAGCAGCAGGCCCGCACGTTGAAGGCCGTAACTGGTCCCGAGGATTGCCAGGAAGCACGAGGCCAGCGAACTTCCGGCCGGCACTGCTCCCCGGGAAGCAGCAGAGAAAACAAAATGGGGCTTCAACCAGGCAGCAAAAAAATGGGCATCAAGAAGGAACCAAAAGTCCGCTTGATCTGGTCCGGATTTTTTTTTGGCAGCAGCAGACCGGCGGAATTCGGCCGTAACCAGGCGGCACAATTTTTCCGGAAGCAATAAAGGAAGGAAAATTTCGCCCGCAACTGGGCTGAAAGACTTGCCGGCAGCAGCAGGCCCGCAAGATGAAGGCCTGAACTGGCCCGGCGGCACCTGGTCCCCGAAATTTTGCCGGCAGTAGCAGAATAGCATGCCTTGCCGTAAACCAGGCAGCCAAAATACCCGCAGCAAGGAATTTTGGCAAGGCGCCCAAATTTCGTCGGAACTGGTCCGGATTTTTTTTTTGCAGCAGCAGACCGGCGAAATTCGGCCGTAACCACGCTGCACAATTTTTCCGGAAGCAGTAAGGAAGGAAAATTTCGCCCGCAACGGGGCTGAGAGACTTGCCGGCAGCAGCAGGCCCGCAAGATGAAGGCCTGAACTGGCCTGGCAGAAAAACAAGCCTTGCCTTCAATCAGGCCCAAAATACCCGCAGGAAAGAATTTTGGCAAGGCACCCTAATTTCGTCGGAACTGGTCCGGATTTTTTTTTGGCAGCAGCAGACCGGCGAAGTTCGGCCGTGACTTCGCCGCACAATTTTTCCGGAAGCAGTAAGGAAGGAAAATTTCGCCGCAACTGGGCTGAGAGACTTGCCGGCAGCAGCAGGCCCGCAAGATTAAGGCCTGAACTGGCCCGGCGGCACCTGGTCCCCAAATTTGCCGGCAGTCGCAGAAAAACAAGCCTTGCCTTAAACCAGGCAGCAAAAAAATATTTGCAGCGAGGAATTTTGGCAAGGCGCCCAAATTTCGCCGGAACTGGTCCGGATTTTTTTTGGCAGCAGCAGACCGGCGAAAGTGCCGTAACTTCGCTGCACATTTTTTCCGGAAGCAGTAAGGAAGGAAAATTTCGCCCGCAACTGGGCTGAGAAACTTTTGTTTTGCCGGCAGCAGCAGGCCCGCAAGATTAAGGCCTGAACTGGCCCGGCGGCACCTGGTCCCCGAAATTTTCCCGGCAGTAGCAGAAAAACAAGCCTCGCCTTAAACCAGGCAGAAATACCTGCAGCAAGGAATTTTGGCAAGGCGCCCAATCTCGCCGGAACTGGTCCGGATTTTTTGTGGCAGCAGCAGACCGGCGAAATTCGGCCGTAACTTCGCTGCACATTTTTCCGGAAGCCGTAAGGAAGGAAAATTTCGCCCGCAACTGGGCTGAGAGACGTGCCGGCAGCAGCAGGCCCGCAAGATTAAGGCCTGAACTGGCCCGGCGGCACCTGGTCCCCGAAATTTTGCCGGCAGTAGCAGAAAAACAAGTATTGCCTTAAACCCGGCAGTACCCGCAGTAAGGAATTTTGGCAAGGCGCCCAAATCTCGCCGGAACTGGTCCGGATTTTTTGTGGCAGCAGCAGACCGGCGAAATTCGGCCGTAACTTCGCTGCACATTTTTCCGGAAGCCGTAAGGAAGGAAAATTTCGCCCGCAACTGGGCTGAGAGACGTGCCGGCAGCAGCAGGCCCGCAAGATTAAGGCCTGAACTGGCCCGGCGGCACCTGGTCCCCGAAATTTTGCCGGCAGTAGCAGAAAAACAAGCCTTGCCTTAAACCAGGCAGCAAAAAAATATTTGCAGCGAGGAATTTTGGCAAGGCGCCCAAATTTCGCCGGAACTGGTCCGGATTTTTTTTGGCAGCAGCAGACCGGCGAAAGTGCCGTAACTTCGCTGCACATTTTTTCCGGAAGCAGTAAGGAAGGAAAATTTCGCCCGCAACTGGGCTGAGAAACTTTTGTTTTGCCGGCAGCAGCAGGCCCGCAAGATTAAGGCCTGAACTGGCCCGGCGGCACCTGGTCCCCGAAATTTTCCCGGCAGTAGCAGAAAAACAAGCCTCGCCTTAAACCAGGCAGAAATACCTGCAGCAAGGAATTTTGGCAAGGCGCCCAAATCTCGCCGGAACTGGTCCGGATTTTTTGTGGCAGCAGCAGACCGGCGAAATTCGGCCGTAACTTCGCTGCACATTTTTCCGGAAGCCGTAAGGAAGGAAAATTTCGCCCGCAACTGGGCTGAGAGACGTGCCGGCAGCAGCAGGCCCGCAAGATTAAGGCCTGAACTGGCCCGGCGGCACCTGGTCCCCGAAATTTTGCCGGCAGTAGCAGAAAAACAAGTATTGCCTTAAACCCGGCAGTACCCGCAGTAAGGAATTTTGGCAAGGCGCCCAAATCTCGCCGGAACTGGTCCGGATTTTTTGTGGCAGCAGCAGACCGGCGAAATTCGGCCGTAACTTCGCTGCACATTTTTCCGGAAGCCGTAAGGAAGGAAAATTTCGCCCGCAACTGGGCTGAGAGACGTGCCGGCAGCAGCAGGCCCGCAAGATTAAGGCCTGAACTGGCCCGGCGGCACCTGGTCCCCGAAATTTTCCCGGCAGTAGCAGAAAAACAAGCCTTGCCTTAAACCAGGCAGAAATACCTGCAGCAAGGAATTTTGGCAAGGCGCCCAAATCTGTCGGAACTGGTCCGGATTTTTTGTGGCAGCAGCAGACCGGCGAAATTCGGCCGTAACTTCGCTGCACATTTTTCCGGAAGCCGTAAGGAAGGAAAATTTCGCCCGCAACTGGGCAGAGAAACTTTTGTTTTGCCGGCAGCAGCAGGCCCGCAAGATTAAGGCCTGAACTGGCCCGGCGGCACCTGGTCCCCGAAATTTTCCCGGCAGTAGCAGAAAAACAAGCCTTGCCTTAAACCAGGCAGAAATACCTGCAGCAAGGAATTTTGGCAAGGCGCCCAAATCTGTCGGAACTGGTCCGGATTTTTTGTGGCAGCAGCAGACCGGCGAAATTCGGCCGTAACTTCGCTGCACATTTTTCCGGAAGCCGTAAGGAAGGAAAATTTCGCCCGCAACTGGGCTGAGAAACTTTTGTTTTGCCGGCAGCAGCAGGCCCGCAAGATTAAGGCCTGAACTGGCCCGGCGGCACCTGGTCCCCGAAATTTTGCCGGCAGTCGCAGAAAAACAAGCCTTGCCTTAAACCAGGCAGCAAAAAAATATTTGCAGCGAGGAATTTTGGCAAGGCGCCCAAATTTCGCCGGAACTGGTCCGGATTTTTTTTGGCAGCAGCAGACCGGCGAAAGTGCCGTAACTTCGCTGCACATTTTTTTCCGGAAGCAGTAAGGAAGGAAAATTTCGCCCGCAACTGGGCTGAGAAACTTTTGTTTTGCCGGCAGCAGCAGGCCCGCAAGATTAAGGCCTGAACTGGCCCGGCGGCACCTGGTCCCCGAAATTTTCCCGGCAGTAGCAGAAAAACAAGCCTTGCCTTAAACCAGGCAGAAATACCTGCAGCAAGGAATTTTGGCAAAGCGCCCAAATTTCGTCGGAACTGGTCCCAGCAGCAGGCCGGCGCAATTCGGCCGTAACTTCGCTGCACAATTTTTCCGGAAACAGTAAGGAAGGAAAATTTCGCCCGCAACTGGGCTGAAGAATTGCAGGCCCGCAAGATAACAGCAACTGGTCCCCGAAATTTTGCCGGCAGTAGCAGAAAAACAAAACTCGCTTTTTACCAGGCCAAAAAAAAGTGGCAGCCGCAAGGTAACAAGTCTGCCTGAGCTGGGCCGTTGTTTGTCTCGCGCAGCAGACCGGCGAAATTCGGCCGCAGCCCGGCTCCAGCCGTAAGGAAGCAAATTTTTCGCCTTCGCTTGGGCGGAGGCCGTTGCCGGCAGCAGCAGGTCCGCAAGATTGAGTGAGGCCTTAACGGGCCCCGAACATTTCCAGCAAGCGAGGCCAGCAAAATCCGGACTGGTCCCCGAAAAATTCCCGGCAGAGGCGAAAAAGCCGACCTCGCCTAAAACCAGGCAGCACAAATGTTCCGGTTGCAGGAAACAAAATGGGCGCCGTTGGCGCTAACGTTTTGCACGAAGGCCAGCGCGCAGCCTGGTCCGCAGCCGTTTGCAGGGTAGGGGCCGGCTGAGCAGGCTCTGGCCGGGCGTTACAGGGCGCAGGGAACATTCCAAGCTGACCGTTTTGGAGGGTTTTAGAGGATTTTGATTGGAGCTTGACACGCGTGTTGAGAGCGTCTGGTCGTTGTCTACAAGGGGTTGAGCGTCTGGCACGCCTTTGGTGGCACTTGTTGGGGGGCGTGGGTTTCGTTTTGCAGGAGCTGGATCGGCAGGAAGAGACGAACTAGTGAACTGCACGGGGAGCTTGTCGACTCGGACATGTTCGTTCGTGCGCGTGAAAACGTGCCAGCGGAAGCGGTCAGGCTTGCGCAGATGCCGTGAAACTTGAAGTTGTGGAGCTCAATTTCTCAAGCAGCTGGTTTAGTCCGTGTTCTTGTTGGCTCACCCGTGAGAGACATGGCTCGCGGAAATTATCGGCAGAAGGGGAAGAGTGGCAAGGGCAAGGTGGTGAAGAAGGACACCGGAGACAAGAAGCAGTTCGTGCCCCGCTACCACTATTTTGCGAAGTCCAAGCTGGCGGCATACCCCAGCGAGGACGGAGTGTGCTTCTACACAGAGAAGCGGCAGGACGAGAAGGATTTCTTCAAACTGAGGAGTATCTTGAAATCCCGCAGCTCCGAGAATGAAGAGCTGTGCCGACGGATTGGAATGGGCCTGGCCTTGGATGCTGCCAGCGTGCACCATGGCGTGCAAGTCTTGCACAAACGCTTTGAGAAAGCCATCCCAGCGGTCCCAAAGGCTGAGGCGGCCCAGCTGGAGAAGACTGGCTTGCCCAAGCTCTTGGAAGCGCTTGGCTCTGCAAGTGGTCAGGAGTTCGTCAACAGCGTGGCAGTCTTGAACGTTGGCAAAACAGGCCAGCCGAGTGAGGCGGAGGTCAAGGCTGCCGTCAAGACGTTTCTGAAATTCCTCCAAGACCCAAAAGGCGACTTGCACCGGAACCTGGCACGTCTGGCCTCGGACGCGGCTGGCTTGTACCTCTTTGCGATGACCCTGCTCAAAGACATGGCGTTGGTGCAAGACCCTCAGGGCTGGGCAGACAAGGTGGAAGGGAAGCAGATCGATGCCGTCAAGGCGTGGAAGCGGAAGCCCAAGGATGAGAACAAGATGCGGCACGCGTTGGTGGCCGCGCTCATGGCCAAGACGGAGGCGAACGAGCCAGCGGCGGGCAAAAAGCGCAAGGTTTCTGACTCTTCCGGAGAAGCGTCGTCGGCCAGCGTCGCGGGGAGCTCTTCGAAGGCAAATTCTTCGTCGCAGGAAGCTTCTGCCGACGGCGGCAGCGGCTCCGAGTCCAACGGCAGCAGGGAGGCTTCGGGCAAGTCCTCGGGCAAGAGCTCATCCCCCCCCGCGACCAAGACGAAGGCCAAGAAGAGCAAGTCCCAGGAAAAGAAGACCAAGAAAACGTCAAAGAAGGAGGACAAGAAGGAAGAGAAGAAAGAACGTCCGGAGAAGAAGGCCGCAAAGGACAAGAAGACTGAGAAGAAGACTGAGAAGAAGACTGAGAAGAAGACTGAGAAGAAGACTGAGAAGGCAGACAAAGACAAGGGCGCCAAAGAGAAGAAGGAGAAGGAGCTGAAGGCTGAGAAGGGCAAGAAGGAAGACGAGGAGGCGATTGCAGAGGTGCAGTCAGAGGAGGAAGCCCGCGCGGAGCCAAGTGAGGCAGCCGAGATGTTGGAAGAACAGGCCGACGCTGCTGAGTGAGCCGCGAGCACAGTCAAATTCGATAGGCGCTGGCTTGGGCCTGGAGGCACAGTGAGGCCCGCTGCGCCGCGCGAAACCCTGTGCGCAGCGTGCGTCTCTTCAGGCTGCTTTTGTTGCGCTGGGCATCGTTGGATAGAGAGGCCCGCAGGCAGGAGCAAGCGCACAGGAAGCGACCGTGTTGCGGCAGAAGACAGAAGCAGGAGCGATGAAAAAGCCGTTGGCCTCTGTGCGTGTGTGTGTGTGCAACTTCACGCCTGAGACGTTGTTGTGTTGGTGTTTGCCCGCAGTTTCTCATGGCGCAGACAGACCCAAACAGCGCTGGCCCTTTCATGCTTCCCAAGCTTGTAGCTGCGTGGGTGTTTGGGCTTTCTTGCGGCGCGACTTGACACTTTGCCGGAACTCGGTCTCAGGCCCGCATTCCGTTCACATCGAAACCGCGCTGCGACCCCGCTGCAGGCCATCAAGGTCGCTCTTCTTCAAGCATTGTTTGGCTGGCGCCGCAGGCTCAGTTTGTTTGTGGCACAGACCGAAACAGCCCTGCTACAACAGAGACCAAAGGCGTGACATATATTGCAAGCGTGAAGCTGAGTGGACTTTTGCGGAGCGGACTTGCTTAACACTATGGGAACTCGGTCTCAGGCCTCGTTCTCAGGTTTGACGGAAATGCGCTTTGAAACTGCGCTGGGACCCGACTCGGGCGTCCTGGTTGGCGCCGCAGGCCCAGCTTGGCGTCATCCGCAGTTTCCTATGGCCAGGCCCAGTCAGCACTGCTACAACAGAGACCAAAGGCGTTTCATGTTTCGCAAGCTTGTAGCTGCGTGTCTTGCGGCGCAGATTGACGCCGTGGCGCAACTCGGTCTCAGGCCCCGCTCTCAGTTTGACGCAAGGTCACTCTTCTTGAAGCATTGTTTGGCTGGCGCCGCAGGCTCAGTTTGTTTGTGGCGCAGACCGAAACAGCCCTGCTACAACAGAGACCAAAGGCGTGACATATATTGCAAGCATGAAGCTGAGTGGACTTTTGCGGAGCGGACTTGCTTGACACTATGGGAACTCGTTCTCAGGCCTCGTTCTCAGGTTGACGGAAATGCGCATTGAAACTGCGCTGGGACCCGACTCAGGCGTCCTGGTTGGCGCCGCAGGCCCAGCGTGGCGTCATCCGCAGTTTCCTATGGCCAGGCCCAATCAGCACTGCTACAACAGAGACCAAAGGCGTTTCATGTTTCGGAAGCTTGTAGCTGCGTGTCTCGCGGCGCAGACTTGATTGACACCGTGGCGCAACTCGGTCTAAGGCCCCGCTCTCAGTTTGACGCAAGGTCACTCTTCTTGAAGCATTGTTTGGCTGGCGCCGCAGGCCCAGTTTGTTGCTACAAAAGAGACCAAAGGCGTGCGTATGTTGCAAGCATGAAGCTGAGTAGACTTTTGCGGAGCGGACTAGCTTGACACTATGGGAACTCGGTCTCCGGCCTCCTTCGCAGCTGGACGGACAGGCGCATTGAAACCGCGCTGGGCCCCGACTCAGCTCGGTCTCAGGCCCCGCTCTCAGTTTGACGCAAGCGCGCGTCGGAACCGCGCCGTGACCCAACTGAGGCCATCAAGGTCACTCTTCTCCAAGTGTCTGGTTGGCCAGCGGCCCACTGCTTCCTCGCGCCGGAAGCCAAGTCCACGTGTTGGAACCGGAGCGTGGACTGCAACAGCGCGTGGGGCGAAACCCACGCTTGTCTGAGGAGTGATGGAAAAGCTGCGCGCAGCCTGCGCTTCGAGGGAGCCGGCTCGACTCCGACTGTTTGCTTTCGCAGCCGTTTGCACGTTTGAGCAATCAGACTTCGGAAGCGGTGCGACAGACCGGACATGTGCAGAAGCTGGCAAGGTTTACAAATTGATCTGCGTATATGTATACAAGAAAGAAATCCCTTCCTAGGTGTAGCCGAGGCTGCAGGAAGTCCTGCAGACTGGGTTTGCCGCCCATGGCGCCAAAGAATGCAGGCGGCGCAGGCAAGAAGGCCGCGCAGAACTACGTCAGCGAGCTGCGGCAGGCAGGCCTGTCCGAGGAAGCCGTCCGCGCGCAGCTCAAAGAAGACGGCTACAAAACAGGACGCATCTCGCAGCTCCTGAAGGCCACTCGCCCTGCGGGACAGGAGGGCGTGGCAGCAGCTGCTGCTCACCCAGCCAAGCGACCCGCGCCTGCTGAGGAGGCGACGGGCCGCATGTTTTGTTTGCGACAGCTGTGACCTACTTGCGCAAGGCCCCAGCACGCGTTGCAAAGCGGCCTGCGACAGCCAGTGGTTCTCCGGAGGCAGGGGCTAGGGAAGAAGCTTGCCTCTTGTTTCGCACAAGTGCAACCCACACACACACGCCTATCTTGGCTTGCAGGATTCTGAAGGCTCTGAGCGCGAAGAAGCGAGAGAACCAGGGCCGCCGGCTGGAGCTGGGAACGGCGACAACACAGACGCAAAATCTGATAGCAGCAGCGAAGAGCTTAATGTCCACAAGTTCTTGGCGGAGCTGGAAGCGGAACTGGACCGGCTACCCACCCAAGAGGCGGAGCTGGACTACACAGATGGCGCGTTTCTTGCGCTGCCAGTTGAGGCCGAGCAAGAGCAGGTGGAAGAGGTTGCGCCGGCAGCGGCAGAAACCAGCGACGAGGAGGTCGCGCCTAAGCGCCGGCTCAGAGGAAAGCAAGCGGCGCCAGCGGCGTACCAAAGACAGATGCGGAAAGAAGTTCTGAAGAGAGCTGGGCTGCTGAAGAGGCCAGCCACCACGCGGGGCAAACGCTCCAAGGAGCTTTGCCGCGCCCGCCGAGGCACGCCTTGTCAGTTCAACCTAGACCACCCCGGCCAGCCAGCGCGAGTTCATCCAGACAGAGGTGTGGAGCGGTGTGTTTTTTGCGAGCCCGACCGAATGCAGGCGGCGCACGTTGTGCCCAGGCCAGGAGAAGACGGATTTTGATGTTGCGCAAGTTTTGCAGGCCGCACGGTGTTGAAAGTTGCTGTTGCTAGCGCACTGGTTTGCTTTGGACGGACGATGTCTCATTTCTGAACCGCCAGGTGGAACCAAATCACAGCAGCCCTGTGGAAGTTTGCGGCAAAGAGCGGGGCCGTATTGGATGCTGCGCTTGGAAGAGTTCGAGAATTTCTAGGAGACTCCGAGGCGGAGGCGTACACGAAGAAAATCCAGGCCCGCCAGAAGCAGCAGAAAAAGCAGCCCACGTCCCCGACCTGGGAAGATTGTTGGGGAGAGCGGAAGCTTGTGGGGCGGGCGTTGAAGGACAGGCAGCGCGCTGAGCACGAAGCCTTGGTTCGAAGGGACCAACGTGTGGCTCGACGCAAGTTCTTTTTTCCAGACAAGGTGAACAACCCAGGCAGAATCTCTGAAGAAGCTGAAGCTGCTGAGAAGGCAGCTGTCCTGCAGGCCTGCGGCGAAGTTGGACATGTGGCAGACAACGACACAGATCTGCCCCGTCCGTCGGACGAGAAAGGCAAGATGGTGGAAGCCTGGTGCAAACATGGCTCTTGGGGAATGTGCGCCAAGTGCCACAGTGTGCAGCCTCGCCCTTTGACGCCCATGGATTTGAAGAGGGTGAACAAACCAATTATCCCACCCAAGCAGTGTGCTGCTTGCAAGCACGGGGAGTATGTGCCACAGTACGAACATGTTCCGGAAGCTCTTCGTGACTTGAAGCCCCGCGTCCTGGAGGCGTTGCGCCCGCTGGAGCGTGACCTGGGCTTTGTGGAGCGGGCGCCGCATGGCTACAGAGTGCACAACGCCATGATAGCCTTTGCTTGGAAGGAGCGCAGCGTGCAAGAAGCCATCGACGCCTTGAAGAAGCGCTCTGATCAAGACGCTGCAAGAGCTGCCTTGGACTGCTTGCTGCAGAATAAGGACAGCGCCTACAGACAGATTCTTCAGAAGCACCAAGAGTTTTTGAGGAAGGAGGGCAACGGCGCTTCTCTGCAAAAGAGGAGGCGCCCACTACGCTTCATTGAGACTGAGGGCTTGGAGTGTTGCCTCTGGCCCCAGCTCTATTGGCACCGCAACATGTGTGAGACCGTGGCCCGGGCTTCCCACGAGAACCGCTCCACAGCCAAAGCAGCTGCAGCGCGACGGAGCCGACGCATGTCGGAAAGCTCCAGCGACGAAGACGAGGAGGCAGCAGCAGAAGCCGTTGCAGAAGACGAGGGCAGCCCGAACATTGCGGCTGCAGAGCATGGCCGCATCAAACGCGGCTTCATGAGGAAGGTCTTGTCGCCGGTCATCGGGTACGGCGCCGACTACGAATTGCTGCATTTTGTGTTTGATCTGTCTATGTGGACGACCATCGGAACGAAGAAGAACCTGGCAGCTCGCACCGGCGTGGCTCTTCGCCACCTTCTCAAGGGCGCCCCATGGACACCGCAGTACTGGCGAGTGAGACACCAGGCCGTGCTGGACATGCAGCGGCAGTGCGGCAACGCCACCTTGTTCCGCACCCGAGCGCCCTATGAAAGATCTTTCCCATACCACGAGTGGGTCATGCACGAGCAGCGTGTTCTTGGCAGAGAGCGTCAGCATCTGGCAGGCGCCGAGACTTTGCACATGGCGTGGGTGCTGCTGCAGCTTGACAAGGGCTACATCTGCGGCGACAGGTCGCAGACCGGACGGTCAGATCGCACATGGACAGGCCACGTCCTTGGCCCGGAAGACGAAGACTGCTGTCTGAACACGGTTGTTGCCCACGTGACACGTCTGGAATTTCAAGATGGGAAGAGAAAGCAAGCCACGCAGAAGTACCACGGCCGAGGCACCGTGCACAGCCACTCGCTGGACTTCTTGGAGAACATTGAGGCCATTGGCTTGGAGAGGAAGCTGCAGGCAACTATCCCGCCAAAGGACACGGAGCCCTTCCTACATGGTTTGGTCATGGACTCGCAGCGCGACTACAAAGACTCCAAGCTTCCAGTGCGGGCAGAACCTTCGGCTTGGAGCCCAGACAGCGGCAGTGTGGCGCTGCATCACAGCGAAGAGGACAAAGCCGAGCACGTTCGTGCGTACTTGAAAGCAACCATGGAGATCACAAAGTGCCACGAGGATGTGCAGCAAGCAGACAGCAACGACAGACGCAACGGCGCCCACCTTCGCTACGTGGCAACCTACGACATGAAGTTCAGCAGCAGCATTGACTCGGAGTGGCTAAACGGTGGAGGCTCGGACTACAGCGCAGCCGTCGGCGTTCTTCGCCGGCTGCGTGTGCTTGAGCCGGAGATGTGGCTGAACCTGGCGCAAGAGCGCTTCCCGCAAGCCAACCTCAGCGGCACCATGCTGGACATCATGGCGCCGAACTTCCACAATCTTGCGGAGAACAAGCCCAAGTTTGGTCTATGAGGCAGCAAGCTGGCGTCGGGAGGACATGAGCCTCTTGGAATTTCTGCGCAAGAGCAACAAGGATGGGAACATCATTCGCCACATTGTCGAGAAGCACAAGCGGCAGGTCATGGTGGAGGTGCAGCAGCAGACCGGGCAGGATGATCAGGCTTTTGCCAGAACTCGGCAAGACCTGCTCGGCAAGTGGAGCAAGGACAAGAAGACGAAGAAGGAGGCCGGAGAGGAGTGTGTGGAGTTGTCAGAGTTCCTTGCGGAGGAGGGCTACGAGAACTTGGTGTCCTTGACCGACTTTGCCAACGAGTACAAGACGCGTGGCGAGAAGCTGATTGCGGCCACCACAAACTCCATGCTGAACGACCGGTACTACGCTCAATGGCTGGCCCTGAAGAAGCCGTTTCGAAGGCTGGAAGAGTTCCAGGCGCAGGCGCCGGACGTTATGGAGAAGGTGCATGCCAAATACCGCAACTTCGCGCTGTGTCTGCACCACGCCCCTGAGTTTTGGTATGATGATGCGGCAATTCAGACAGAGATGGAGTTGGAAGCTCACAGCGCAGCCTTTGTCCAGACCATCCTGAACAAGGTCCGGGCGCACCGCCACATTGTCCAGCGCTACCTGGACGATGCCATCCCAACACAGGAGCTGCCAGAGAGCTCGCAAGACTCGTCAGCCAGTGCTGGGAACGCGGACGGGAAGGTGGAGAAACACAGCCTCACTAGGTCGCAGAAGCGGCTGGCCAAAACCATCTCGGAGCAGATGGCCATGGCCATGGCGGCCTGCGACGCGCAGACGGACGAAGACTTGGAAGCCTGCGTGGAAGCAGCGTTGCCGCACAAGATCCTGTTTGCAAGCGGCCCTCCTGGCACCGGGAAGACCCACGTGGTGCACGAGCAGATCCGCAAGTGGCAGCGCAAAGGCGCGCGCATCTTGTTCACACTGCCCACCGGCCAGCTGGCCTCGGAGGTTCGCAGTGTGCACCCCGACATCGACGTGGACACCAGCCACGGCGCATTTCTGCTGCGGCGGCCTCTGCAGGAAGCTATGGCTATTTTGACTCAGTATGAGCTGGTCGTGATCGACGAGGCCGTGGTGGGTCTACCTTTTTTTTTTCAAGATAACCGGCCCAAGAAGACGTAAGAATTTGCAAGTGCAACAACACTTACGCATGTCCAAGTTCAGGGTCATGCCGCAGGTCTCCATGCTCACTGCGCCGCACTTTGAGCGCATCCTGGCCATGTGGAAGTATGCGGAGCAGCTGCCGTGCCTCGTCCTGCTGGGCGATTTCTGGCAGCTTCCGGTGGTGGAGAAGGGCGTGGGCCGCTGCGACGCTAGCCAAGCGTGGCAGCAACACGTTCAGACCATCAACTTTCACGAGCAGGTGCGCTGCAAGTGCCCCAAGTTGCAGGAGAAGTTGGACATCCTTAGACAAGCGCGGCCCAGCATGAAACAGCTCAAGAAGATTCTCAGAGGTCACCGGGCATGGACCAACAACAATCCCACAGCCTACGATGTTCTGGAGCTTTTCAGGGAGCACGAAGACACCACCATTGTCACGTGCAGCCGGCAGGCCAGCGCCAAAGCGAACAGCATTGCCGTGGAAGCCTTCTTTGAGCACCGCCACAAGCAACCCATCGGCAACGTCCTGTTTGATTACGAGGCCAACCAAGAGAACTATGAGGGGAACGGCAAGGGCCTCAAGAAGACCGGCGCCTTACATGGAGCCCCGACAAACGTGTATGAGGGGATGAGGGTCTTTCTGACCAAGAACATGGACAAGGAGCATGACTTCGTCAATGGCATGCGAGCGAGCGTGGAAGACTACGACGAGCGCAGCAAGTGTCTTCAGGTTCTCACTCGCACGCAGCAGCGTCTGGCTGTGCACATGGTGTGTCATGAGCTGGACGACGGCCGCAAGGTCAGCTGCTTTCCAGTTCGTGCGGGCTACGCAAGCGCAATCCCGAAAGTGCAGGGCATGACCTTGCCCCACATCACCATTTGGCTTGATAGCATTGGTTGCAGAGCCGCAGCCTATGTGGCAATGTCCCGGGTTAAGACAGACGAGGATTACCTGATTGCTGGCGGGCCTCTGACTCCAAAACATTTTGTGCCCGCGCAATGAAGCGTGCAAGAAGCGCGAGAGAAAATAGACTTGCAAAGCATGGGAGGGGTGAGTAGCAGAAGGGCCGAGACTTTTCTTGCCAGGCGTTTGTGTGTGGGGAAGACGGAAAAATTGTAACAAACCCGGTTGCAGGGCAGGGGAAGAAATAGATGTTGTTTGAGACCAAGGTGCGTGACAAGGTAGACCGCAGAAGCAGCGCGTGTGTGAGGAAGAGGGCCGGCCAGAGACGCAAAGGCTTGTTTCAGTGCGACGCAAGAGTTAGAAGTCGTTGGAAAAGAAAGCAGGGTCGAAGGGCCGCCAGAACGGGCTAGAGGGTATTTCTCCAAGGACTTGCGTCTTAACTAGGAAGTTGCGCAAGTGGTCACAGAGTCCCAACATGTTTGCAAATGACACGTGCGTGCTAGCTAGGTTCCGGGGGCTGAAAAAAGAACAGGGTCGGTCGCTCTGCAAGGCAAGCGGCGACAGAGCCCAGCAGGGCACGTGCGTTGGCTGGGAGGTTTGTTTGGAAGCTGAGAACGCGTGCAGAAAGTCAAGGAGTCCAAGCGTGTCTGCAAACATAGGACGCAGGACGCAGAAGAGAGGGCGCGCGCAGAGCCAAACGCATAGAGCCGAGCGCGTGGAGCGAAGTGCGCAAAGCGCTCGCGGACCAACTTGCAGAAGAGGCACTTGCTCCGAGTCAAACACGTGGAGCCAAGCGCGTGGAGCAAAGTGCACAGAGCCAGGCGCAGAAACGCGCAGCGCGCTGCGTTTGCCGGCCCCACAGCCCACAAATGAACCGTGCGCAAAGGTCAACAGCGCGAGAATGCGCAGAGCCAAACGCATAGAGCCGAGCGCGTGGCGCTCTCGGACCAGCTTGCAGAAGAGTCGCTTGCGCCGAGTCAAACACATGGAGCCAAGCGCGTGGAGCCAAGTGTGCAGAGCCAGGCGCAGAAA